GCTGAAAACCTTGGGGGTTTATGCTAAATTGGCAGCTCTTTTCTCCTCCACATGTCATTTTCTTGGCGCTATTTTGCTGGTCTCTGTTGCTTCTCCAACTTGTGCACCTTTCTGTTGAGGCTTTTGCCTCAAAGTCTTTAAGCTGTGTATGTTTTCTACTAATGTTTCTGTGTGGAAATAAAATAGGGTAGTATTTTTATTATTGTTGTTAATGCCAACCCATCAAATGCCCCCAATTACAAAAAGCCCCCAAGGCAGTGAAAAAGAAAATAATGGATTTGCTAAGGGCATAGTTACTACCACACTTACTTGATTACAAGATGGGTTCTTCCCATTTAATTAACATGAGAGGGGGGAAAACCCCCACACCTTACAATCAAGCACAAGGCAGTTGGGGGGGGGAAAACCCCCCCCCCCTGAAAAAACAAGGCACGGGGGGGGGGGGGGGGGGGGGGCAGGGCAGCCCCAACCCCACTGCCTTGGCACACCCTGTCACTCCTTCCCCACAGCCCTGCCTCCCCCCTCACTCCTTACCTTTGCTGTGCACTGACAGGCTCTGTCCCTGCTGCTGCCAGGGGCACAGGGCTGTGGAGAGGGGAGGAGGGGCGAACAGGAAAGCTGCTTGCACCCTTTTTGCCCCCCCATGCCTTCCCTGCTGTCTGTTCCCTACAGTCAGCCCCTCCTCATCAACTCTTGCCCCACCACCTGCACTAGTGGGGGAGAGGATGAATTTAAGATGATCTTCCAACAGTTAGATTTCACATGTGGAAAATTATAATGAATTTACAAAATTTGCACATGTAGAATCTGATTATTGGGGGCTTGTCTTGCATTCAGGGTTATTTTATAGTTGAGTAAATAAGGTATTGTGTTTTATCCAATTACATGTAATTATTCATTGGTTTAAGCTTGATGTTGCTGGAACTTTACAAATAATAATTACTCTTGTGCGTTCCTCCTTAGAGCAGTTCAGGCCAACCTTTTTCGCAGGTGTAATTGGCTCCAGTGCCACTCTTATCTTCTGCTTGAGCTGCCCCTCTGCTTTCTGTTCCCTGCTCATCTGCCACATGCCACACACAGATGCTGTCTATGCCACTTGTGGCGCACACCTTACAAATTGACCACCCCTGCCTTAAATTTTTTACTAGACTGCATTTTTTTTCTTCCAATCAAAATTGGCTTCTGTGCCTGCTTGCCCAGAAACAATAATTTGTCCTACATTTGTCTATCTTGTGAACAGCAAGATAGCCAGTATTAGAGGCCAGGTTGATCTGGTCAGCCTGAGAAAAGGGAACTTTATTTAAGAGACGACTGAAAGAAGATATCATTTCACAGGTTCTAATCTTGGAAGGAGTGATATATTTAACTTTAGGAATGTTTCCCCTGTTAGCTCAGTGAGCCCAATGTACTTATGTGAATAAAAGTTGGAAGTGTGGATATCTGTTTGTAAGCCTGGGACTTTAGTGCTGAAATAGAGGAATGAGTCCCAAGTTCAGGAAGGAGTCCCATAAACCCACAACAGAAGTTGAAGCATCAAGATTAGAGACTCTATTTTAATTTAGCATGAGTTGCCTATATTTTATCCCCAACTCTCAAGAGATGCTTCAGGATATTCAAAGTAATAGTTGTGACTTGTTGAAACCTTGTTCCTTTCCCTGTAGCAGCTGAAAGTCTAGGTCAGCCTGCAGATTGTGTTTGATAAAGAAGATTAGCATCTCTCCCTAGTTACTTCTGTCAGAATTGGAGCTATCCAATTACCTGAAAAAGAAACATCATTTGAACTTTCGAGTCTTTCTGTGGGTTTGGGTTTTTTGGTTTTGTTTTTTGTTTTGGGAAGGCCTTTAATTTTAGGATTGGGAGTAAAAGGGAAACATCCTTGGGTCATGAGACTGTTGTGCTGGGTGGGACATGCAGTAGCTTAGGGATGCTTGTATGCCTCTTACAATGATTTTTGTTTCCTGACAGTAATCTTTGGTTTTCAGCAGATGATTGTGTAGTGTTTAGAGTTAACATCCCACATTGCTGTCATTTAAAATGCTCGTTGGAACATTTTATTTGTCCTTTGGTTTCTGATCCTCTCCCTCAGGCTCATTCCCCTGCTTAACTACATGATTTTGCTGTTTTCAAGACTTTCTTCAGAATCATCAAGTCTAGAATTTCTTTAACAAAAACTGAGACTCATCCATAATTGTATGAATTACATTGCTTAAACTAAGGCTTGTTTAATCCCTATTCCACTGCAATAAACCAAAATGCATATAGCATATATGAGTAGTTAGGATTCCTAATTTCTGCTCCTGACACTGCTACTACTGGTTTACTTTGTGACTTGTAGCTTATCAGTTTAAATCTGTGTTCTACCTGGCCTGTCTGTAATATCACAGACAGTGCTTGAAGCCTAGTCTTACTATTACTTACGGAGGAATTCTTAAATTAGAGGTCCTGTGGAGGTGCAAATTGGAACTTTTGCCTCATTTCTACGTTTTGTAAATGGTAGGAGCGTTCTATGGGTTTTGTGTGTCAGGTTTTTTAGATGTCATTTAAACTAGTGCAAAACCCATTGCAGGTGTTTTTTGTTTTAAGAACATCTGTGACCTTTTGCACTAATTTAAAGGCTGATTTTCATTTTCTAAATGAGGTTTGCAATGACTTTGTTTACATGGATTTTTTAAATCTTGTATTTGTTACAGGTTCTAGGGTATATAGGCCTAAAGGCAGGTAGAATGTGAAATGGTTAATGAAGAAGGACCAGGGCAGTCAGGCAGAGCAGTTTGAATTGCTTGATAAGATGGGCCCATGCAACCAAAAATTATTTGAATACAGCCAAAGCAAGAACCTAGAGCTGGTAGCTGAAGTTAGGCAAATTCCAGTGGAAAGCCAGGCCCAGATTTTTAACAAAGAAGGTGACTAACTATTTAAATAAACTATCAAGAAACGTAGCATATTTTCTTTTGGTGATATCTTCACATTAAGACTAAGTGCCTTTTCTAGAATAAATGCTTTGGTTAAACTCCAGTTATGGGTTTTGGCGCAGAAGTAACTGGATGAAATATTAAGGGCCTGGATATATGGAAGATCCTATCATATGACTGAATGTTTTCTCCTAGCCTTTAACCCTATGGATAATCTTTGGAAAAACATACCTGTACAGATGAGTAGTTTTATCTCAGTTATACAAATGGCAAACTGAGAAAGAGACCCTTAGGTATCATTAAGATGCACTTTAGTTTTCAAAGTGTTTCAATAAAGTCAGTAGGACAACATGAGGTACCACCTACTGTGAGAAGGTGTATCAGGTGTCAGCCTCCAGGTTATTCATGTAAGGTCACGATGAGATTTTGGCAGACAGAAATTAATTCAAGCCCTCCAGCTACTTACTTTACTTGCAAGACAGCCAGTAACTTAAGACTTCTGAGGGGATGTGAAACCTATAACAGGCAGGTTATCATTAGGGATGTTGGCCAATTTGATGCCTGTCTGTTTCTGTGTATTTATGACTGAGCGCTCGCTCTCTCATGCACTGCTGCTGTTTAAAGAAAGTAACAACAGATTTTGAAAAAAAATAGGGTTTTTTCTTATGCATCTTGGGAGACCTGAGCATCTCTTTAATGTTCTAGCAGAGTTTGAGCAAGTCGCTTGAATCCCAGAGTTACAAAATATAGCTCTTCACATCCTGCCTGTCTGAGTAGGAAGCTATAATTCTGAAGGCCTTGCATCTTTTCCTTTTCCTCTAATGAACCTATACACAAAGCTTATTGGCTTGTGCACATGTGGGAAGTGCCACATTAGCATAGTATGTCTGGCTCTATAGATTTAAACACTAGGTGTCAGTGTTGCAGTTTTAATGTTTTGCCTGAAAAGTTGGGGGAGGGATTTGTTTTTTTCCCCCTCTTGAAATTAACTGCTTCTGATCATCATCATGTTCACTAAATCCATAATAAATTGCTGAGGTTTTCTTCCCCTCTTTCACCCCCCTGACCCTCCTCCAGCCCCTTAAATTATTACTCATACTAGGCAATGCTTACACAATGTACTTTCTAATAAATTAATCAGAGCAGTATATACCCCATTGGATGTTTTCTTGGGGGAATAGTTGTAGTAGGAAATGGTGCATGGTCCTGAATACTTGCATTATGCCTGCTACAGAATCACTTAGCGGTAGGATATTATTGAAAGCAGGAGTCTCACCTCCTTTATCTTTCTCCAGGTTCTGAATGGAGTTCAGGGCTCCCAGAAGACAGCTTCTCTTCAGAAGAGGAAGCATTAGAAGGTGACGATGAGGATGAAGCCCTCTGCACTGTGGATGAAAATTCAGCCAAATCCAAGGCTGGTACAAGTACAGGTTGGGCAGATGCCATGGCTAAAGTGCTCAACAGAAAGGTCCCTGAGAGTAAACCTACTATTTTGGTTAAAAATAAAGAGTTGGACAAGGAGAGAGAGAAGGAAAAACAAGAAAGGCTGGAGAAAAAAATGAAGGTGAGAAGGAGAGAGACACTATCCGTATAGTACTACCACTCTATTACTCACTGCAGGCAGATGGTAGAAGCCCCTTTTGGTGTAGCAGAAGGGGAGCAACTGGCAGAGCACTCTCTGAGAGCATTCCCAGCTTTGGTATATGTTTTGTCACTTACCTTATACAGTTTGAATATGCTGATACTCAGGGCATACTGTAAGTCCTAAAGGTTGGTGCATCATAGTGGGTAGTGTTCTAATTGTGGTTTTATCCTCACCTTTAAGTTTTCTTATGACTGTCCTTCAAATGCAATAGAGGGGCCTTTTTAAGGGATTAAAAATGAGAATCGAGGCAAATAGCCCATGTCTTACTGTCATACTAGATGCAAAAAACAAGAGAAACTCTGATGCATCTTACACCAGAATTGACCTTGAGGTGGGAATTGATGACCCCCATTCAGTGTCATCCTCCCCCCATCACCTGATTCTTCCTGGTGAAGTTCTATCTTTTTTTTAAAAGAAAAAACAAATACCTAAGTCATGTCCACTTTTGAAAGTTCCCTCCTGAATTGAGGCAAAGCCATGTAGATGATGTAATGGCATAGCTTTTATGCAGGATTGTAACAAAAATTAAAATTTGAATTTTTCCTTGATGTTAAAAGCGCATAATGCAGGCACTTTGAATGCTTTGGCCTAACAGTGCCGTTTTAATAGGGTGAACTCTCTCAGTTCTCTAGTTAGTTTGGGATGGGCTGTGATTAAGCTGTAGCCCTCTTTTGAATACAGAAAGCTGCAGTAAGAAATCCAGTCAGTTACTGTTTTGCCATGGCTTTATTCAATAAATATGTGGGGTACCACAAATTAGTAGTGGGCGGTGAGGCTGTAAGATGATTTGTTCACCCCTAGATAAACTCGAATACAGTCTGCCTTTTATTAATTCCATGCTGATGGAAGGTAGACTAGGGTAATTCTTTTGATCAAAGGCCAGAGCATGGTCATAAACTTATGAATTTGTAGTAGTCTGCCTGAAATTATAAAGATAAGGACTGTAATTTCATGAAAGAGTTTTTGTATAGTGTAGGCTCAATGTATGATAGCTCTGACTAGAACACTGTTAAATTGTTTAAGCAAAAAAATGTTGCTGCTAACTTATTCCTGAAGCAGGGGGTGGGGAGAAATACAGCTTTCCACTGTCACATTGGAAATAGAAACAGTATTTACTGTGGTTGATGATAATGGCAGAAAATATGATTAGGCTGGGTTCTAAAACATCAAGCTTCAAATGAAAATCAAAATGTTGCATATTAAAGCTTTTTTCCATTGAACACTTAATAGTCTCTCTGTTCGGTCAACATTCTTCCTTGTGTACCTTACATCTTGCTGTATCAGTTGATCACAAACCACAGTGCACTCACTGTATGATCCATTCAGTAGAGAACACAAAGTAAGGTTAGGCTTAAATATGACACACATTCAAAAATCATGAGTTTTAACTTCCATCTGTAAGACCTAGTGTGGGACCTACATATGGAAGTTAAAACTTGTGATTTTTGAACTCCTATGGTGTGGATAAGCTGCATCAGAAATATGATCTAGGGCTTAGAGTTTGGACAGGAGGGTGGTTCTTTAAATAATCCTCTCCTTTTTTTCCCATTTGGGTATCCGTGTGCTAGAACGGGTCAATTGAGCTGATTCCATCTATCCTCTTCCCAGATTCCATCTATCTGTTAGGGTGGAGTTCTGATACACCAGTTGCATACTGTTCCCTCCTGTTTAGTGTAGTTATTTATGAAGTTTGTGTAAAATAAAGCATATGGAGTTGTGAACTGTTCACCTGTGTGAGGTAAAGGACTTAGGATCCATTATGGAGCATGTGTGATTGAGATGCCAAGAGTGGCAGAGATGTCTGTTGATTGACAGTTGAGTGATTGTGCCACTTCTGAGGTGGTTGGGATTTGGACTGGTCAATAAGTGAACAGAATGAAGGTTTTTGACAAGTTGTGTGATTGATGGACATGTGTGAGTTGTGACTGGTCAACACAAGTGGAGTAACAGTCCTTTAAAAATGTCCTGCTGACCAGAGCTCAGCATGTTCGCCTGTGACTGAGGACAAATTAGGGTGTTTGTTGTCGTGGTCACCAGAGCCGAGGGTCTTCAGTAATAGTTTAGAGCTGCTGCTGTTGATCAGTGTGTCCTGCCATCCTTGGTTGGGTTGTCGCTAAATTGTTGTGGGTGTTTGGCCTTGCGTTGTAATCTGGTTGTCATCTTGGGAGAGTCCAGAGCACATGGCTTATTGTCTTGACTCTGGTGGGGGGAGGGGTCAAGTGATGAGAGAGAAAGTTTGCTGAGTGAGAGTATTTGTTTGGAACTGATGAGAGCATCTGCGTGTGAGATCTGGGGGCCAGCTGAAGGTGTGTGGATTTGTGAAGTGTCAGAGTGAGAATGAGGGTCTCTGTCTCTAGAGGGGGAGCCAGAAGGCAGCATACCTTATTCCCTTGAAACAGTGTGAGAAACAGAGTGAGGGCTGGGGGGCCTTGTGTGGCCAATAGCTCCTTTTCATTGCTGCTGAACGGCTACTGTTGCTTGTTGTAATTGATCCTTGTTCTTGTTGATTAATTATCATCATTGCTAATGCTGCTTAATTTGTTATCCCTGTTAATAGATATCCCTTCCCTATTAATATATGGAAGTGGTTATTTTGTTTGAGGAATTTAACCAGCTAATTAATGGGGTCTGATAGATGTTGCAAACTCATATCTGCCCTAGTCATGAATTTAATTGTTGATTGACCCCGATAGTTTGATTTTAATTAGCTGTGCAACTGTTTAACGCTCAACCTGAGTCTCAAACCATGTGTTGGTTTTTCCCCAATCAACATATCCTCTTTTCAGATTGCATATATCCTTTTTCCAGACCCCATGTACTGTCCTAGAAGACTCTTCAAGGGATTGTTATCTCCCAACAAGACAAGTGGTTGTTGAAGGACCAGATCAAGGTGCCACAAACTGACCTTAGGACCTGTCAGCCTGGACCCACATATGCAATATTTAGAAATTCCCTTTGCTTTCAGCTATACTGAATCTGTATGATTTATCATCTTTGTTTTCTTCCAGAATGTACTACCATAGTATGCTACATTTTAAAAATATGCAGTGTTTTTTTTCACATAACGATATTTGTATCACAGCTTGATAAAAAGCGGGAGTGGGAAATGATGTGCAGAGTCAAGCCAGATGTTGCCAAAGACAGAGACAAAGAGAGAGATCTTCAGAGAATTGCCACAAGGTAAGAAAGTGTTTCTGTGACACCTCCCCCTGTTTCCAATTAAATTGAACTCTTAAGGAGTGACTAGTGTGAGCCAAGTGATTTATACACAGGTCTGTGTTTTGTAGTATCAAGTTCGTGGAAAGGTTTCAGAAGTCATATTGAAACATTAGAATTTAGACAAGAATATATGGCATGTGCTAAGTCTTTGTCTAGCACGAGTGCTGTGTTTGAGTTTATTGTTCTGTTGATTCTGTTCTTAAAAATATGCAGATCAATCACATCTACCAGTTTCTCTACAGAGAGCTCACCAAGTTCATTGTTCTTGAGATCAGGTTACTGTTTCATATCACTTTAATGTGGTGCCACATGCTTTTGGCAAAACATACCGCCAGTGCGGTCTCTTTATCTCTTAATGTCTTGATGAAGACTTAGACGAGTAATTTGCTAGTGATATTAGCAAGTGAATAAGGAATAGCAAGGGAATAAGAAGTGATATTACAGTATTCAGGAATGGAGTGTTTTCTTATGTTGATGTCAATTGTTAAGTACCACATACCTCTTGGTAGCGTGTTTTGGCTGCCAAGGACCCTGCTAGGAGTCAGTGTTGTACTTGAGACCCCCAGTGATTTCAGTATGACTGTAAACACACTTAAGTTGTTTGAATTGGGTTTGTATTGATAGATCTTTGTCTGGTTCATACAATCAGGGGTGGAGGAAGAGAAGAATGCCTGGTGTGTATATGGTTATTTTCTATTTAATTGTTATGATTATAAATAGCTGTTCTTGAAAGCTCAGGGTCTCCTAGCATCTGCACCAGCTCAGTATTGGTTTGAAAGAGAAGTCGCTTCTGTAATGACAGCTTGATGCAAAATATAATGTCTGCTTTCTTTCTTATCCCAGGGGTATTGTACAGTTATTTAATGCTGTCCGGAAGCACCAAAATAATGTTGATGAGAAAGTAAGAGAGGCAGGGAATTCCAATAGAAAACGTGCTAAGCTGATGTCTTCTGTTTCAAAGAAAGATTTCATTGATGTACTCAGAGGTATGGAAGGAACAAAAAGAGAACAGAATATTGCTAAAACAGCCATAAAGAAGAAACAGGTAGGCCTGGTCTTACTCAATTCACACTAAGTATTTTCTCAGGAGTTACTTATCTTGGTTATTTAATAGTTATTAATTATTTGTGCCCATGCTGCTGATCTCTTTTTGCTGGCTACTAAGAAAGACTGATCCTCTCTTGCATCACCTCCCATCTAATTCTGATCTTTGCTTCTCAAAATCCAGAATACCAGGAAACGTCTGGGTAGTTTGTTAATCAAAATATGGGCAATTTAGGGAAGTGTAAAAAAAAAAAAAAAATTGGACCCTGCCTGGGCATTTACTTCAAGACTGCAACAACAAACGCTGGCTTCGCAACTCTCTATTTGAAAGCTGAACAGTGATGGTTAACCGTGTCAAACAGTGTTAAATGGTCTAGCCTTTTCTATAATGCCATTTTATAGAAGGTCATATACTGACCCATTCAACTTGTGCATTAGCAGTTTGGTCTTTTGGGGTTCAGTTGTTTTCAGAGGATCGTAAGACTAGAAACTAAATGGCTTTGCCTCCTCTGTCATGGTATCATTTTGTTATGGAAAGAGATTGTATTGACGGACAACAAAGTATGGACAGACAAGAAAGAAGGATAGTTAGAAACATTGGAAAGGTCAGTTTTAGGGTTTTCTTTTGTTAGTCACGTGCATGCTGCCATGGCTGCAGAATTCATGCTGATCTTGATTTATTTTGGAATTGGGAAATATAAGTCAATCACATGGTTGTTTTGATCAGACACTGGTGTGATGCAGACAAAGCTGTTGGACTTTGACTAGCTGGGGTTAAAAAAACGTTGCTAAGACATTCTCTCTCTCTCTCTCTCAAATTTCAGAAGTTGCAGGTTTTTACAACAATTGTGTTTTGTGTTTTGAACTTTGTGCTTGGTAGTGGGTGGAATACTTCTTGGCCTAGACCCATAGCAGTTAACTAAGTACTTTTCTGTGCCAGGAAGAAATACTTTAATCAGTGGAAAGACAATAGTTTGTCACATGTTTTTTGTTTGCGTGTGTTCAGGGAGTGTGCTGAAACAGTGCCTAGCATGAAGAGAACTCATAAATGTCATGCAAGTGTAATGTTAAAATACTTTAAATATTCTTTGGGTTATGAGAACAGTTTAACTTGGTGCTGACAGTTAATCTGTCCTGCTTGTTTGACTTCATATGGAAAAAGAGATCTAGTGGTTGTGCCTACTAGTGCTGCTGTAGTTAAGGATTTGTCATCATGGTTATAAATTTGGCCAGGGGTGATTATACATCAGCTGCAAAAATATGGCAGACAAATTTTGTAGACTAGTTTGAGGAAAGATTGTAGCCTATTTTGCCTTTTATCAAACTGTAGAGAAGGCTTGCTGACTGTGTCCTTCTCTGCCTTCTCCCCCTGAATTATAGGGCTTAAGGACATAGCTTTCAGGTGTCTCAGTGCTTCTGTTTATTTTTGAGTGCTTCGTTTTGGAGGAGTTATTGAGGGCATATGTTTTAAGTGCTTTTGGATGCTTGTCTCTCTCCTCATGTCATATCTTG